TGCTACTCAGAATGTGTCCCTGGGACTAGCAGCTTTCGCATCACCTGGGAACGTGCTAGAAATGCAGACTCTCGGGCCCCACCCCATCCTCCTGAAACAGGCTCTTTATTTTAGTAAATTCCCCAGATTAGTAGAGGGGTAGAGAGAGAAAGACAGAGGGGAGTCGGGGGAGAGTTCTTTATTTTAGTAAATTCCCCAGATCAGTAGAGGGGTAGAGAGAAAGACAGAGGGGAGTCGGGGGAGAGAACAAAACATACTAGACCAGGTACTTGGCAGTGGACTTGGCCACCACTGAGACAAGATGCCACTCCTGGTTAAATTCTAGTGAAGTGAATAAATCAAAGGTCATGGGCATGAAAAAAATGGAAGCCACACTGACTTCACTGCAAGTTTGCGATGTGCTTCTGGCTCAATGAACCTGTGTGCATTTTGAGTATTTAGCCACCAATGAGCCTACATAGTGGACTGGTTCCTACTAGCTTTATGCGTGTCTCCTAAAGCTGGGCATGCTCGTTTCCTGGGTGACAGGAAATGTCAACTGTCATTAGCAGAGTGAATATTCGGCTCTTTACAAGTACTATTGTCACACCACAGAAAGGAATGCAATGCACGTATAAAACAAAAGAGAAAAGGAAGCTCTTCTGAATTCTTATTAGTTCAGTGATGTAGTAAGGAGCTCTCCTAACCTCCTTTTCTCTCTAGAATCTGAATTCCTCCAGAGTGGCATCTTCACTGATGCCTTAATCCCAGGTGGTGATTCCGTGCCTGAAGGAACAGATCAGAGAGCTTGTGAGTCATTTTTTCCTCAAGGTTTAAACCTAACTTGAGAAGGCAAGTCTATGAGTAGTTAATAGTTTCTTTTTTTTTAATAATTGCATGTATCTGGCATTATTCTGATTAAATTTCCAAGCCAATCAAAATGAGACCAAAAAAAATTAGCAAGCATTGTTTCCTGCCTTGAGGAACAGAGAACTGGCTGGGGAAGCCACGAGCAAGCTTCTGAGTCAAGAAACATACCAAAAAGAGAGGAAGGCTCTAGGTAAAGGGTAAAAAGCAAGGTAAGCATGTCTCTCTCCCTCCCTCCTCTCATACAAGCACCAATATTTCTGTGCTCCAGTTTTCAGCACACAGAAATTTCTGGTTCTTATCTACTAGCAGCCAGAAACACAGAAACCCCTCCAGTATCACAGATTCATGACTTCTACTATAGTGCATTTACTGTGTCCTGCCAATCAACACACATTCCCTGGGCCCTGCTGCCTGGGGCCACACCCCTCCCCCTGCTCCCCCTAGCCTTGCCCTGTGTTCCCCCTGGCTCCTGCCCTGAGTAGGCCCTCCTTGTTAGAAGTGTCAGCCACTCTCCTTTGTTAAGGATATTCAGATGCTACCTCCTCGTAAAGAGAGATTAGGACCTAAGGAAGGCTATCTCCTAGATGTCATTTTGCACATTTATAAATAAAAGAAACAGAAGGGAGGAAAACTTGAAAGAAAGATGTTTTTTAAAACAACTGTCCAGAACAGCATCTTCAGAGAGATGCTTTTTAAACCAGGTGATGCCAAAGAGTGTTTCCAGCAAATGCACCTCTTTAGGTAGGCACTTAACCCAACTGGGCCAATCCTAAAGTCTCATTCTTTGGTTTGCAATTGGCCCAGGAATAGACTTAGGACCTAAGACCAATCAATCCAAGTTGTATCCTGCTTGTTTTCCATACATGAGCTAGAGAGAGAAGCCTTTTCCTCTCCGATCTTAAAGTGTAAATATGAAGCTGGAGCTACAGTAACCATGGTCCCAGCCACATAAGAAGCCAATCAGAGCAAATGAGATGAAGATGTAGGAAGCCAAGGCATGCAAAGAACAGGAATCCACACAATGTTCCAGGCCCTGGTTCCAGCTGTCCCTAATGCTGCCTCCACCCTTGCCCTTCCCATTACCTTAACCAGGTAAGCGTCTTTCCTACATTCCGTGGTTCAAGGTCACGTTCTCTCATTTGCCACCAAGTACTAGCTAACACTTCTTGTTCCCCTACTGCTGATACAGATGCCCTCAGCAAATCCCCCTACTTTGCTTCCTTAGAGGCAAGCAAAGTTAATAGAGTATAAATATCCATGCCGTGATGCAATCAGGAGATGTAGAGGGATAAAGAAGGAAAAAAAAAATTAAAGACAACTGTCAAGCTTCTTATGTCAAAAACAAATTGACATTTTTACACATATCTTTATTACTGGTGGAACACAGTATTCCTAGATTCTTCTATTTACATGGATTGTACATGCCACACTCACACCTGTGTGTGCAACAGCCAGGGATAGATGAAGAAAAGTGGACAGGTTCAAGAGATAGAAAGTAAAATTGGGACCAGCAGATGGTGTAGTAGGTAAGGCGCTAGACTTCCATGTGGCTGACCACAGTTTAAGTCCCAGATCCCGGGGCTTGAAACTCACACCGGGCGTGTGTGTGTGTCCAAAATTCCAAGAGGAGAATGGAGGAGAAGGAATTATGACGTGCCCATCCCCCCCAAAGGGGGGATTCCTCACTGCACTCCCACATGGCCAACTGCAGTTCAAGTCTCTCTGTCTCTCAGGCAAGCGCACATGCCCTATAGCTAAAGTCTGTCAAAAAAAAAAGAAAGAAAGAAAGAAAACATAGTAAAATCAATAGGATTTAGTGATAAATACTGTCACCTATCAAAAAAATGTAAATTTCTAAAAAGTTTCCATTCTTATTATCAAAAAGGCAGTTTCTAAAATATGAGTTATAGGGATCAGGTGATAGCACAACTGAAAAAAAGCCTGGGTTCATGTCCTGGGCCAGCTGAGAATGGGGGTGGGTCACAGGATGAAGATCCTGTTTGAGGTGTCTTTCTCTTGTCTCTGTCTCTTTCTCTCATGGAAGAAATAAACAGACTTTAAAATGTGTATAAATTGTGGGGACCAGCAGTTAGTGAAATGGCTTTGTCACTGGACTCCCATGTCATCGACCACAGTTCGAGTCCCAGACCTGGTGGCTTAAACTCATGCCAGGCACGTGTGCGTGGGTGCCCAAGATCCTGAAAGGAGAATGGAGGAGAAGGGATGGCGGCGTGGCCATCGCCCCTGGAGGGGATTTCTCGCTTTCTGTCTCTCTGTCTCTCTCTGTCTCTCTGGAGAGTGCACACGCCCTATAGCAAAAACCTCTCCAAAAAAAAACAATGTGTATAAATTGTGATGAAAGGATGATTCTTTAAATCATAATAACCAAATAATACATGTATGACGCGATATCTTCAAAAAGTTTATGAAAAACGCTTAGGAAAAACTATGTGTAGATTTTAAATTTTCTGCACCAAAATAAACGTGTGCTTTAACCTCATTTTTCAATGAACACTTTTTTTTTTTTTTTGCGGGGGGGGTGGGAAGGTTTTTGCTATAGGGCGTGTGTGCTCGCCAGAAAGACAGAGACAGAGAGACAGAAAACAAGAAATCACCCCCGGGAGAATGGCCACACTGCAGTCTCTTCTCCTCCATTCTCCTCTGAGGATCTTGGGTACACCCACACACGCACCCGGCATGAGTTTAAGCCACTGGGTCTGGGACTCGAACTGCGGTTGACTACATGAGAGTCCAGCGACATAGCCATTACGCTGTTTGTCCCGTAAAGAACACTTTTTGATTGCCAGAGAGTGTGTGCTCATACCAGAGACAAACTGAGAGAGGAAAAAGGAGAAAGCACCCTTCAATGGGAGGTGGTCACATGATAAAACACCTTGCTCTCCTTATCACTATCATCTCAGGACTTGGGGAACATGCACACACGCACTGTGTTTTTCAAGTTGCCAGGGCCAGGATTCAAACCATAGTCAACCAGGCAGGATCCAGCTACTTTAACCACTAGGCTATGGGGCCCACTCATTTTTATAAACTTTTGAAGTACTCTCATATCTCTACATAGTAGGAATAAGGAGAAGCAAACAGCTCTTTTCTTTATTCTCAGGTACAATTTCACAGAAATCACATCAGTCAGTGGCCAATAGAAATAACTTTAAGGAAAGTAAGCTATTAATTATAATGGAGATTTGATCTTTCAAAAATTATTAATACTGGGGCCAGCAGAAGGTGTGATGGCTAAGGCACTGAACTCCCACATGGCTGACAATGGTTCGAGTCCCATACCTGGCAGCGTGCTTTCTCACTTTCTTTCTATCTCTCTCTCCCACCCCACTCCCATCTCTGGCTAGTGAGTGCATGTGCTCTGTAGCTAATTTTTTAAAATAATAATAATAATGATAAAACTAAATAAATATTTTTTAATTATTAACATTATGGGACCAGCAGATGCATAATGGTTCCATTGCTGGACTCTCACATGATCGACTGTGATTTAAGTCCCAGATCCAGAGGCTTGAAACTCACACTAGGCATGTGTGCATGTGTGCCCAAAATCCCATGGGGAGATTGGAAAAGAAGGGATTGTGACACGACCGTTCCCTCTGGGAGGTGATTTCTCACTGTCTCTCTCTCTCTGTCTTTTTCTGCCTCTCTGGCAAGTGCACACACCCTATTGCAAAAATACCTCTAAAAATTTGATTAACATTATAATCTCATATTACTTATCATAGGACTATCATATGATCCTCAGACCTATACCTAATTGACAGTTGAAACAGTTTTAAATTTCTGTATCTCCCTTCTTCCTCCGTAGTTGAAGTTTAAGTCATTGCCACGAGTATGGATTATCATCAGTGAGTTTGCCCAAAGCAAAAAGTACAATTAGAGAGCTAGTGTAAGAGCCATGGTAGAACATAGAACCCACAACACCATCTAGGACTAAAATCTCCAACAGTGGCTCAAGAGTCTGCTTTGTAGCATAAAGAGGGCAAACTGAAGGTGTGAGGTCTCTAATGGCACAGATCCTTAAACAGCCAAACTAGTGACAATAGTCTAAAATTAAAGAATGAAAGAACCACTGAGCATCAGGTTCTTGGCTATTTATCACCAGCTTGGCATCGTGTAGATAAAGCATCTTAGCAGCACGTGAAGCGTTCACATACCGTCAAGATGTTCATGCTTCGTTCTGGGATTGTATGAGAGGACCTGAAGTACTTCTCTGCCCACTGAAATAGGAGGATATGAGTCACCAAATCTGACTCCAGCTAATTCAGTAGGATTACAGTCCAGGCTTTCCAGGGACTACCCAGGAACTTCAAACATTTTTCCCATTGTCACATCATGTATCTCAATTCGGAGTTCACAAAATAGAGATGCTATTGTTACACTTTTGTGATCTGAGCTCCCTGGCCTACCAGCTTGCATGCAAAACAAAGGCCACAAACATAATATAGAATTTCTTTGGCTCATACCTACTCACAACTTTGGAGATTCTAGCTCCAACTCAAAAATCACCCCCAAATTATTCTTGAGAGTACCAGAGGGTCTATCACATGGACTATTTTTTAAAAAGCCTCCTAACTAGATTCTCTATACTCTTTCTAGCTCCCCATATAGCTTTCAAAGAAATCTTTTCAAAGTACAACTCTGATGTCACCCCTCTCTTTAATTGTTCAGCAGCTTTAATCATTGTGTGGATGGTCTCATGATCTGGGTCAGACTTAAGCTGGACTATATCAGGGTATCAAGACCTTATTGGGGGTGCTCTATCTCTCTCCTTTCTCTCTCCCCCCCCCTCTCTCTCTCTCTCTCTCTCTCTCGCCCACCCCCCTTTCTGGTAAAAGTAAAATAAATAAAGTTAAGTAAAATAATTTTTTTAGAGGTTTTTGCTATAGGGCGTGTGCACTCGCCAGAAAGACAGAGACAGACTGAAAGCAAGAAATCACCCCCCAAGGGGGATGGCCACACTGCAATCCCTTCTCCTCCAATCTCCTCTCGGGATCTTGGGCACACATGCACACGTGCCCGGCGTGAGTTTAAGCCACCGGGTCCGGGACTTGAACAGCGGTTGACTACATGGGAGTTCAGTGACATAGCCATTACGCTAACTGCTGGTCCCAAATAATTATTTTTTAAAGAAAGAATTAAGGACTATAGAATACAAAAATAAAATTGCCTTAATGACTACATCCTATGAGTCTGCTAGCTAAATATGTGTGCGATCTTCAAAAAGTTCAAAATGAGTCTTCTGAAAAAACTATACATGGATTTTGGAAGACATTTTGTACCAAAATAAATTCATATTCTAATTCTATTTTTTGCAAACTTTTAAAAGTCCTCTTATAGAGGTTATAGCAATTAAAACAAGAAGTGACAATGGCCCAGATTAAGATGGGGGAAGTGAATGTAGAAGCTGCATTTGAAAGAAATTTCTTACTATAAGAAATGCAGCTGATTGGATATAGGATGTGAGGGAAGGAGGCGTCAAGATTGACACTTTGATGTTCAGATTAAGGTAGACAATCAAGAAGAGGGCAGAAAATAAATTCTATTTGGATGCATGATGTTCAGGTTCCTATGAGATGTTCAGACAAAGATGTCCAGAAGGCAGCCTTGACCATAGGCAAGAGGTCAGTGCTGAACTTCTGCTTAGGAGTTCGTCCAAACTGAAGCAGGTGCATGCATGACTTCAGTCAAGGCATGTGAGAAGAGCAGTGAGAATAGAAGATGAGGACAGGCTACTTGAAGTTGTTGAAAGGAACCAGTAAGGGAAGCTCTGGAGGAGATGGGGCAGTTGGTGGTGCAGATGGTGGCACAGCAGTGGAGGCTGACTCACATTAGAAAGTTCCCGGTTCGCATCAGGAGACCTTCCTGAGTACTCCACACTTGCCTGTGCCCGTGATCCAGGCTGGCTGAGGCTTGAAGTAGATAGATCATGGCATCAAGAACCTAGCGAGAGTGCTATCTCTCTGTGTCTCTGTCTCCCTGTCTCTCAGTCATAAAATAAACTTTATAAACACAAAATGAAGTACTTGGCATTAATCCCACACTCCATGCTGTCTCCTAGGCAAATTCCATTCCTTATTAACATTTCTTCTTTCCTCAGATTTTTTTTTTATTATTATTTCAGCTTTATTGTGCTGGTACAAATGCCAAGCATTTCCCCTAATAAATGGTCTTTTTCAACTGTTATATCACCCAAATGAATCTAAGTGTTTATAATTAGCAAGGTTTACATAACAGGTATAATTTCTTGATAATAAAGTTGGACCATTATCGATTGTTCTTAATGGAGCATTTTGTTCTTGAAATAAACAGCAGGCATTAACCAAAGATATCTGGATAGCAATAATATTCAACTCTGCTCATAACCTGTTTGCTACTCTCTTGAAACTAATCAAAACTCTAGCACAAAATAAAAACATTAGGAGATTAATAAAAGTCATTTTATCAGACAAGGCTCATTCTTCTTTAGTGTTATATTTACCACACAAGGGAAAATTACTTTATTACATGGATAGCAACACATTTATGACAAGGCACTTGAAAAATAAGTCTGATGCTCATTTTTAAATTCCATTTCTTAGTACTCAGAAGCCACACAGTCATCAGAAATACCTTTTCATTAAATTATCAAAGTTGTGGTCCCTTTATTCAAATAGTAAGTATATCTATGCAGGAAATCCAAATATCTTAAAAGGGATTAAAATTAAATTGCATATATCATACCAAAAATACTTTTTAAAAAGAACAGGAACAGCAGAGGGCTTAATGTTTACATCACTGGGCTCCCACGTAGTCTACCACAGTTCAAGTCCTGGATCCAGAGGCTTAAAATTCATACAGGGTGAGTATGCATGCATGCCCAAAATCCCAAGAGGAGAATGGAGGAGAAGGGATTGTAGCATGACCATACCTCCAGGGGCGGTGGGGAGAGGGAGTGATGATTTCTCCCTTTCTGTCTCTCTGTCTCTCCAGTGCATGCACCGTATAGCAAAAATCTCTCTCAAAAAAAAAAAGTACTTCTCTCACATTATAAGAACTGTGAAGGTATGGCATATTAGCGTATTGGCGTCACAACACCGTCAGTCATGTAATTTCTTTGTCTTGACCATCATTCTTGTCTCAGCTTTTCACTCTTGGGCATGTCACCTCTTGATCACAAAGTAGGCTGCCATAGACCTCAGCAGCATGTCTTTACACAACAACTGGTCAAAAAGATATGAGCTTGGGAACCAGCAGTTAGCATAATGGCTATGTCGCTGGACTCCCACGTAGTCGACTGCAGTTTGCGTCCTGGACCCGGTAGCTTGAATCTCACGCCGGGTGCGTGTGCATGTGTGCCCAAGATCCTGAGAGGAGAATGGAGGAGAAGGGATTGCGGCATGACCATCCCCCCTGGGGGGTGATTTCTCGCTTTCTGTCTCTATAGCTCTCTCTGTCTGTCTGGCGAGTACACGCGCCCTATAGCGAAAATCTCTCAAAAAAAAAAAAAAAAAGATAAGAGTTTTTCCTACCCACACCTGCAGATCCCTTCTAATACAGTTTTTAGTAGAACGAGATAACATGGTCATTCAGCTCTGGGGAATTCTAAGGAAGGAAGACTGTCAAAGGAATAATATTAAAACTAATGACTTAAAACAATCATAGAGTTAGCCCCATAGCTGAATATAAGGCCACACTGCCTCCCATCCCTAATAAAACAGGATTGTGCTTGCAAAAATGGAGAACAGCTGTCGGAGAAAGGGGCAACCAACAGTGCCTGCCACAGGTTCCAATTCGACAGTATTTCCTTCTACACACGGAAATGTTATTCCGTCTTCTTTGCCTTCTACAAGCCAGACATTAGTCCATGGGGGACTGGCCAGATAAAAGACTAAGTGGTTGGCATCTGTCCCCTATATTACTGTCTCCTATCTCACCCACAAACACACTGGCTGTGACTCTGGTTTTGGTAATGGATCAAGTTTGTCAGCACCTCATTTTTATAATAGAGAGCACATGCATGAAAAAGAGAAAGCAAAAGAAGTACCCTCAACAAGGTCTCATCCCTTTGCGAACCTCTTTTCCCAGCCCTTCAGCTCACCGTGATCTTGTGTCTTCGGGCCAACCCTGGAAACCAAATCTGTGCTGAACCATGTGGCCTCCAGCTCTGCAGTTCAGTACGCTACAGACTACACCACCAGGCTGGGCCGGCTTCTCTCTCAATACAAGCGCTCACCTTGTAGTAATCGCAAAAGCTTCTTTGCAGCAGTGGCCCATAGGGTTTAGGAGATGAGCTCATGCATGCGGCAATCCCATAATAGTCATTCTTTGATCTCAAGCCACAATTTGCCAGCCCTGTCCCACCACTTTGTATTTTGCCTTGACAGAGTTGGTCTAACCAGACTTCAAATCAACAAGCATATTATTTTTGATACATATATATTACCACTGGTTAGAATGCATTAGAAAAAAGTCATATCCTAAAATGTGTGTATATCTTTATACATTCTAAAAAGAAAATATTACCAGTGTTCAAATCACATTAACAGTAAACACTAATAATGACATTAGACCATTTATTCAATATTAACTGTATTTAAATGTGAGAAAAATGAAAGATGTCCTTAGAAAACACACTACTTGTCGGAAATGGTACACGTTAATAATTCTAAGAGAGAAATTCTAATTCTTCCACAACTTCAAAGAGTAATACCTCCCAGGGGAAACTAAATCATAGAAAAGGAAATGCAGCAGAGTTAAATGTGTTTCTCAGGCTCTTATTCTTTTCCTACTACCTATTTAGATAAATTTCCAAAATGATGGGCTGTGATTGATAAAAAGAAAAAAAAATCCAAAACAATCTGAGATGAGACTTTCTGATTGTCCATATTCCACACTTAAGGCAATTCAGAGGCCTTTGTGATAAAAGAGGCTATAGCTAATATTAAGTTTCTGATAGAGAAAGATGGAAATCATTCAAACAGTACTTATCAAGGTGGTAACAGGTAAGATGTCCTCAGGGCTTCAGTTTAAGTTGGTGATTTCTAATCTACATAAATTTTCCTGGAACTGACTGTAAACTAGTTAAATGGTTGGCTGGTGACAAAAAGATGAGAAAAATAATGAATGCATATAAAGCGGCACAAAAGATTTGGAGGGATTTGTATCTGCTCTGTAATTATGTTGGCGCATGGGAAATTAAAATCCTTGTTTGCCTCTTCTTTGCCTTCTTCCCTCCCCCCCAGGCTTCTCCATCTTGTCCCCAATAAAAGAGTTCTTAGAGAAAATGGGAATGGTATTATGAGGTCAAAGAAAACAAAGAGAAAAGAAGATGAAAAGGGGAAATGAAAAGAGCACCCCAGTGAGGTTCTTCTCTGCTCTCTAGTGAGACAAATGGCTCTGGTTACTGTAACTTAAATGTCTGGTCAGTTCAAAGAAGAGAAGAGTTCAGGTGAAATGTTTTACCTCCTACTTCTATCATCTCAGCTTCCACCTGGACTGTGATTATCTGTTGGTCCTCTAGACCATGGGTGAGCATCCACCTGTCTTCGCACCAGTTCAAGAATGGTTTTTTACATGTTTTTTTTTTTAACAATTGCATTTTTAAATGTTACATAAATATTACATAAGTCTCTCAATTTTGCCTCACAAAATCTAAAATGTTTACTATTTGACTGTTTAAGAATAGCACAAGTAATGGCTACTGATCTGCAGTGCTGGAGGCCACACAGTGGACCTTGGATTTCGCTCCTGGGTCAGTCTGAAGTACATGAGGTGTGCATAGCCAAGACCATGACTGCATGTCTGGGTGAAAGGATTGGGAAAGGGCATCGGGGCATGACAAGACTCTGCTGAGTGTGCCTGACTATCTCCCTCTCTCTCATCAATCAAATAAACTATTTTTAAAAAAAGAAAGAAAGAAAAGAAAGTTTTCCAACTTCTGCTCTGAATGGGACCTGTGGCACTGCTCATTTATATTTTTGTCCTTGGCTGCAGCAACGCCTGGTGTTTGAATGGATAAAAAAAGGTTCTAAAATTATCCTAGAACAGGAAGATAATATTTTTCTCCTTTGCAACTGTAGAAACCAAGACCTGATGCTAATCGACTAACTCCAAGTCCAACAGCTTTTTGGTGGCAGAGCTAAAGCTATTATAGTATCCCCTCACAACATACCACCTTGATCTGGAGCTGCCAACATAAAGCATTATAACACCTTTCAAGGTCTTTCGATCAAAATGATCAACCTCAGTGTATTGGTAAGAAATGAAGACACAGCTATGAAGAGCTTACCTTGACAAAGAAATACAAATGTGGGGCCCAGCAGATGGTGTGTTGGTTAAGACGCTAGACTCCCACATAGCCAATTACAGTTTGAGTCCCAGACCTAATGGTTTGCCTTCTCACTTTTCCTGTGTGTATGTGTGTGTGTATCTAGTGAGCACTCATGCCCTATAGCAAAACTTAAAATAACAATAAATAATTTTTAAAAGAAGACAAATGTCAGCACCAGCAGGTGGTGTAGTGGTTATGGTGCTGGACTTTCACATGGCCGACCATGGTTTGAATCCTGGACCTGCAGATTTGCTTTCACTTTCCCTTTCTCTCTTTCTCTCTGGTCAAATTTTAAAAATAATAATAATGATAACAACTAAAATTAAATAAATAAATCTTTGAAAGACAAATGTGTTTAGTAAGAAGTTTAAAATACAACCAATCTTATTTCTAAAGAGAGATACAGTTTGAAACTCAATAGTTGGGTAAGTGACAAATCTGATACTGTCCTAAACAACTAATCTGTGACTATGCAGATCTGTTTGGGGAGACACTGAAACATGACTATGTTTACTGTGAAATTCAAAACTGATTTGTAATGTGCTTACTGGGCAAACTGAGAGATAAAACACATTGACGAAATAAAAATAAATTTTGTTCATGATAGATGCTCAGAATAACATCAGAGAGAAAATAATTTGCTTGGTAGATTTTATGCCCATTTTTAATGTCTCTAGTGATAAGAGGTTCCAACTCTTCCTCTGGGAAGTGACTCCCTAAACTAATACTTCTTGTTGTCATTTATGTTTTCTAGGGCAATAACTCAAAGTCTTAACGGGTTTATTCAATACGTAAAACAGATGCTGAATTGAAAACTTCTAATCATTTTCTAACCTAAACCATATTACAATTTCTTACTATGTTTTTAAAAAGCTAGCAAATATTAAAAACCTTATATGTATATTTTAACAAATATTGATGCTTCCTCTGGAATTAGGGAGGAAAGACTCAATAAACTGAGTCTATCTGGGCATAATTAGTTTAATGCTATTGCATAGGTGAATTGTGGCTTTATGTTATCTAGATAGTGTTACAGAAAAACCCTTCTTTCCTCTCTCTGGAGTGCTCTTTTGAAAGTCTTACTGCTCTAGTTAGTTCAATGCTATTTATTTTTACTTGTGTTCATTATTTTAGTCCTCAGGAGTAATGTTCGATGTTTAGCAACAATAAATTTTATTTCCCACATGTCAGTGTGGTTACAAAACTGATACAAATACCTCTAAATCTTTTGTGCCATCTAGTATGCATTCATTATTTTCTTCATCTTTTTGTCACCATCCAACCATTTCACTAGTTTACAGTCAGTTCCAAAGTAATCTTTGTAGATTAGGAATCAAATGAGTAGTTCAAAACCCTCAAGGCATCTCACCTGGCCCTCTCTGCAATGGAGTCCTTTCACCATCAAATCAACCATGCATACTCTCTATTTAGAGCTACAGAGTTGGCTTTATTTAACCTTCAACTTTGGAACACACACTTTCTAATCATAATCAATCAACCAACAATTATTTATTTCTACTCCTGTAATGCTCTCCTAAGGAATTGCTCTAGGTAAAAAAAAAAAAAAAAAAAAAAAAAAAAAAAAAAAGAAACCAGAATAAATGACAACAGATGGCCAAAAAGCAATATTAAACAAGTGATTTTTCAGAGTTGACTTAAACTTGGCTAAGGATTGCATAAAGCCTTGTTTCAAAAGTGAGTGTCATCTGTAAACTGTCAGATAACAAAGAGATCCTTCACTAGAATGTCTCAGTTCTAATTTATAGAAGGATGGACCAAAGACAACCCATGTTAAAATACAATTTTACTCCTTATACTGTGTTGGACACTTGGTAAATATTGTTCCAACACAACAAAATCCTGTGCCTATTTAGGCTATATTAAACTTTCTCTATGATTAAGTGTATATTATCCATATGATTCAATTAGAACAGCCCAATATAAATTAAGTGCCACCGTTTGTTTTGGATCAAGAACTATAGAGCGTGTCATAATTAGCCCCAAAGAAGTGAGGATTATAGGCCCCTCAAACAAAAATATTAAAATCAAGGAGATCGTCAAATCCAGAAGAGAGATGGCATGGAGGGGAAGGGAGCCATATCTAGGCACCCTTTACTCTCTATCCCCCTCACCCATCACCAAGGCAGTGAGGCTTAAACTTGATTCTTTAGGATGTGGGCACCATTAAATAGTTTAGAGCAATGAGACTATAGAAGCCAGAATAACCAGCTTTTCTTACAAACAAGACTCAGGATACTATTTACAGAGCTCGCTGAACCTTTTTAGGCTCTATTGAAGTAATACAAAACAAACAAACCCTGCCTTCAGGAAAGATAGTATCTAAACCATGTTCAGCTGGTTTCTGTTTTTGTTTTATTTTGTTTTTGTTTTTTTTTAAATGGCCACAAATTTTTAAATTGTGTACCTGTCCTTTTAGAAGTTTGTTTTGTGGAAGATTGAGTCAGAATGAAAGATTTAGGGCTGCTCAACTCAAAAGAGCCAGACTATATAACCAAAACCTTCATTGTGTGGAAACAAAATTTCACCCAAACAGAATTATGCGTTAGGGCTGGCCCCATGGCCTAGTGGTTAAGGGGGTCCTATACGTGACGGTTCACACAGTTCAAATTCTGGCCCCAGAGGTCTGAAAAGTGTCACGGTTCAGAGTAACTCAGGAAGCATCATCTCAAGAGACAAAGAAAGTTTATTGAGAGAAAGATCATCCAGGGGTCTGAAGCCAGAGGTGCCTCAGCCCGCCTGCCAAGACAGAGGGAGTTTCTTTTACAGGGCCATCAAGCTACTTTGGAGACTGTAGGTGTGAGTGGTATCCAGGGAGTTAGGCACACTGGGATAAGCACAAATGAAACATCTGGTGGGTCTTTTTGATCCATTTCTAGGAAGTTAGACCTCCCAGTACGCGCATTAGGCCTTTATCTGCTATTTCCTGGGTCAGTGCGACCTTGCGGTAGCAGCACCTGAAGTGTGGTCTCTTGCCAAGACTAATAATGCAGAGGTCTGGCCTCGGTTCCTTGTCAGGACTAGAGCAATACCAGGTAGTGCTCAGAAGAGCTTTACTGAATGGGACCTTAGGAAAAGCACACCAGGTATGTGTGTATGGGTGCCCCAAGTTCTGACAGAATGAAAAAATGGAGAACAGGTTGTGGCATGATCACACTCAATTAAGAGGTGCTTTCTCCCTCTCCCTCTGTCTCTGTCTCTCTAGCCAGCACAGGCACCTTTAACATTTTTTCAGAAAAAGAATTATGGGGCCAGCAGGTGGAGCGGAGGGTAAGGTGCTAGACTCCCCCGCAGCTGCCTGTGGTTCCAGTCCTGGACCTGGCAACTTGCTTTCTCATTTTCCTTCTCTCTGTCTCTCTCTGGTGAGTGCCTTTATCCTATAACAAACTTTAAAATAATAACAAATGAAATAAATAAACAAATATTTTTTTGAAAAATAATTACAGCGTTAGATAAAACCTACAAACAATATAGTACATTTTAGTACCAAAGCAACTGGAGTACACTGGCATTGTATCACATTTGACAATATAGTCATTAGTTAATTTGTCATTTTTTAAATGTACCAGTATTTTACCATGTCTTCAGGTTAAAAAAAAAAGAAGAAAAAACGTATGGATCATGGTTTCTGCTATAGATTAGTAATTAAGCCAGCTCTACTGGGACTGATTTTCCATGCTTCTTCTCTTACTGTAAGGTTCTTTCAAGATTATTTTAAACATTTCAGTGATTCTAAATGAATAGCCCAGTCTTCATTAATAAATATATTACCATTCTCTCACCTGGCTCTCCTGCCTCTCCTTTAGGGATCGCTCAGGGGCAGCACCCGGAGGATGTGTGCACTCTTTCTTCAGGTTCCGTGCTTTGATGGTGACTAGGAAGCGGGCAAACTCCCACGGCTAGTTTGCATGTTAAAGGAACTCCTGGCAGGTATCTGCTTGAAGATCTCAGTGCTCCTCTCTTGTGTGAGCAAGGGCAAACTCTCTTTAGTGACATGAATTGACAATAAGAAGCATATTCAACACACTTTGTAACCCCCTTTTTTAAGTCAGAAAACCTGTATTAGAGAAAGTTGGATCTAATGGTTTCTACTGTGTCTCTCTGCCCTGCTTCCTCAGTTGCCAACAACATAAACCTTTTAACATGTCACTACTTCTTAATTCTAACAGACAGACATAGTTTTTCCAAGTCTGGTTTTTTAAACTATTTGTTAAATTCTTCTCAATTTTTTATTTCCCTTGCTTATCACTCACTTATTTTCTATACAGAACAAAAGTGCTTGAATCATGCATAAAGCCTTTTAAAAGACATTTTTCAGATAAAGCACTTTATATTATTAAGCATTGTAAAATTATTATTTTACATCACTTTTATTATGTAGCTCATTTTAAATGGGCCGGGATATTTTAATCATCCAAGAAAAGTCATAGTTTATAGCTTAAAATTGAAAATATATCTGCTTATTTTTTCCATAAAATATGCATGTGTGATTTTCAGCTCCATTTAACTAATGTATTTTGGAAATATGTTACAATAGTAAATGTAACAAATCTCAGTCAAGGAAAAAAAGTAATATAAAAAGTGTGATTAATAGCAATATTTTTTTTCATTTTACAGAAGTCCCTATCTTGAAATATGAATCATTTTACATAGATAACCTCTATTTCCATACCGTTTATCTAAACTGTAGTATATTACAACTCTGGGTGCAGAATTGCAAATTATGTCAAAGAAGCAAACTGTCAAAACAACATAAATTACCCATAATGCATTTGCAAAGAAAAAATTGCAACTGTTAAAGAATTAAAGAGCAATCCAAAAGTCAGATAATGCCCACCACATGGGTGTAAGTAGGGTCAGAAATGTAATATACTTACAATGATACTATTGGAAATTATTTCTTAATTGAACTAGGGATGTAAAAATGAAAGTTGTTAGATCATTTGGGCTGGTGATCTTTATAATCAACTCCTGGTAAGCATGTAAAATATACATGGTCCTAAATGTAAAACAGACATTTCCCTAACTGTGTCACTTTTCTCAGATGTGACTTCATGGACAAACTGAGTCGGTTTTCCTTTTAATGTGCATTAAAAGTTCAGATGAGGAGAAAAAAGGTTAGGATGAGAGCACATTTCTGTAAGGCAAAATTGGCTTGTGGTTTCCACTGTAAGGAAGAGAATTACTGGGCAGGATACAGGAAGTCTAACTTTATGGTTTGCATGGTTGAGTAGTAGCTAGACTTCTCAGCTCAGCCACACATGTTGTGAATAACAATACATTGAATTTACATAGCTATTTCCTCTGTGGAATTCCAAGAACTACATAATCTCATTTGGACTCATAACATCTTTTCTAGGAGCTACAAACTAGAAAATGTCTTCATTTTAAACAATGGAAAAGAGAAGGCATACAGAGATTTGAACACACCTTGCACCAAGTAGATTAGAAAGTAACAAAACTTCCAAAACTCCTTTTAGAGAGGCTCCTTCCTAATGGGAAACTTTTGCTGACTGTGTCCAGGCACCACTTTCCACAATGGCCGGCACCACACCAATGTTTTGGGTCTGTTTGTTTGTTTGTTTGTTTATTTGTTTGAGTTCCCAAAGCTACTTTATTTCACAAATTGGTGGTTTTGACTATTTCTGTATCATCAAATACCTTTGTTAATTTTCTTTTGAGAAAACACTTAGGTATATATCTTTCTTTTATTTTCATTAGTATTTATTTAATTTTATTTATTCTTTTTTTTTTTTTAATTTGACCAGAGACACACAGAGAGAGAGAGAGGGAAAGGAACAAAGGAAGCTGCCAGGTCCAGGACTCAAACCATGGTCAGCCATGTGGGAGTGTCCAGCACCCAACCACCATGCCACCTGCTGGTCCCAGTATACCTTTTTTATTTTTTTTTTTTTTTGAAGTAAAGAAAAGGGTGGAATTTAATTTTATTTACAGGACCTTGCAAGGTATGAAATTCCACATAGAAATAAGAAACCCGTTTGGAGGACAAGCTTCATACAGTATGTACAGTTTGGAACTGTTCAAGTATAGTTTCGTTGTAAAAAGTGCTACAATAACAACCACATTTAAAAAGAGTTCTTGGTAGAAAAACAGTAAGACAAA